ATGTCCAGGATTAAGAAGTCTGCTGGGAATATAAGTTTATCCACTTTGACCAATACGTCTTCGATAATCCCTCGTGGATGTGTAAGTGATCGATCAGCCAACTGTAGAGTTACTGTAGTTGCTTTAGGCTCTCCTAATCCTAGTTTCTTGAAAATAGATAAAGGCATAAGATTAATACTCGCACCAAGATCACACAATACTTTATCAAAATATAAATCACCAATTGTGCACGGGATAGTGAAAACTCCCTGGATCTTTCAATTTTGGTGGAAGCTTTTTCTGAATTCTTGCACTGCACTCTTCGGTTAGCATTATTGTTTCATGATCCTCCAGCTTGCGTTTATTTGATAATATGTCTTTTAGAAATTTTGCATAGCTGGGCATTTGTAATAGTGCATCGGCTAGTGGGATGTTGATATGAAGCTTTTTGAAGACTTCTAGAAATTTCTTGTACTGCTGCTCCATTTTATGCTTATTCAACCGCTGTGGAAAGGGAATTGGAGGCTCGTATGGGTTGACTGTAACCTTGGCCTTATCCTGTGATTTTTCTGAATTTTCCCCTGGAGTTGATTCCTTTACAGCAGTCTCATCTTCAGCAGGGAAGGATGTCTCTACAGTCACACCTGGTCTCTTGACATGGATTTTCGGTAATTGCACTCCACTTCGAGTTGTAATAGCCTTAGCTTGCTCTTTGGGATTGATTTCAGTGTTGCTGGGTAGATTTCTTGGTGCTCTACCCGTCATAGAGATTGCCATCTGTCCCATTTGTGTCTCCAAATTCTTGATCGCTGCACTTTGGTCTTGATTCTTGATCCCTGCACTTTGGTCTTAAAGAGTTGCTTTTGTCCTTCGCATAAACTGGTTGTTGGCTTCCATATACTGATTGATTGTTACCATGAACTTCTCAAACATCTCTTCCAATGGTGGCTTTTTGTCCTATTGCTGATATTGACCTTGTGGTATGTTTTGATTCTGATTACTCCACGAGAAGTTTGGATGTTTTCTCCACCCTTGATTGAAGGTTTCTGAATGTGGGTTATTTTGTTGGCGTTGACCCCATTGAACAAAATCTGTCTGTTCAACTCCTTGCATTAAAATTGGACACTCTGATGTTTTATGCTCAGCTCCACATTCTTCACAGCTAATCTTCTTATTTTGTGTTGTTTGTGATATGCTTTCTACCTTGTGAAACAACGAGTCAATCTTCGCAGATATGGTTGAATATGCACCTACCTCATAGACACCCGAAGGCTTCTTCTGAATCACTCGCTCAGAGGACCCCATGGCTGAAGTGGTAGCCATTCTTTCAAACAATTCCAGTGCTCCATCAATTGTTCGTGTGGAAATTGAACCATCTGATGATGAGTCCACCATGCTTTTGAAGTGCGGGAATAACCCTATATAGAAGAATCAGATTTGGGTCTTTTTGTCGAACCCATGTTGAGGGCACTTTCGGAGCATGTTTTTGAATCTATTCCAGGCTTCGTCAAATGATTCAGACTCCCCTTGACTGAATATCGATATCTCATATCTTAGTTTCGCTATCTTGGCTGGTGAAAAGAACTTCGTGCAGAATTTATGAACCAACTCGTTCCAAGTAGTGATGCTTGCAATAGGAAGTGAATCCAACCATTCAAGTGCCTTGTCCCGCAAGGTGTGTGGAAAAAGCCTTAGCCTAATAGCATCGTCCGAGATTCCTTGATATTTGAAATGTTGACACACATCTAAAAATCGAGATATGTGTGTATGTGGATTCTCCTTGGCTTTGCCATAGAACTGATGTCCATTTTGAAATAGCTGTATCACATTTGTCTTCAATTGGAAATTTGGCTGCCCAAACAGTGGATACACAATGCTGGACTGGCTTTGAATCACTTGAGGAGTCAAGAAGTCGCCCAAAATCTCATTTCCTTCATTCATTGTCTCTCCTTCATTGGCTGGGATAATAGGATTGTCCAGTTCATTAGCCATTTGCAACTGTGCTTCTCTAGTCTCTCATTACAGTCGATGAAAAGTACGCTCAATTTCAGGATCAGTTGAAAACAATTCTCCTTCAGTCGATCTTGGCATGCAACTCTGCGAGAAAGCCAGTAGTAGCACTCAAATTCAAACAATTTGAAGAACTATAATAGAAATAAAATAAAATAACCTAAACAAAAATAAATAAAAAATAAAAATAAAAATTTAAAGTTCAAATTAGTGCCTAAAAAATGAAATTAAACTAAACTCAATCCCCGACAATGGCGCAAAAAACTTGTTCACGAAATATTTTCTTTCGATTTAAATTACCGCAAGTGTACGGTTCGTTAACAAGTAATAAAGTGGATTCAATGAGTCCGAGTATCGTTCCACAGAGATTGGTTAGTTCAATTTTACTTATTCGACCTTAACCGAAACCAAATTACTCAAAATGAATGTGGACCTAATTAAAACTCTAAAATTGGAAAGAAAACCCTACTTATGCAACTTTTATGATTGTAATGAAATTAATAAGCAAAACAATAATTTAAAACTCTAAAATGAAATCAATTGTTGAGAACGCACGTTTGTTGTAATCGATATAAATTAAACACACTAGGATCACGATTTCCCATGCAATTATCACTTTAAACTCTAGTTTCACAATATGACAACATAATTCAATTGTTGACGAATAAATGTTCTTAAGTCTATCCAATACTCTCTCTCGAGATGTATCAAACCTATTTCTACATACCACCGGCCTATATTTCTATGACAAGTGCATATGTAAAAATGCATGTAGTTTTATGAACACTTAAAGATTCACGTAGGGCGTAGCGGTATATTTCTGTCCCCTATCGGACCCTATGATGATTTATATTATGTCGAATCTATTCCAATTCTCTCGAATGCAAGAATAAATCACCCAAACTCACACAATTACGGCCCTTAATTGCGGAAACAATAAATGCATATAAATCATTCAAAACAAAAGAAATATGTTTTAATGTCAAATTGCAAAACTAGAAATATAAAACTCAAATCACATGGTACATCGATCTCCTAGCACAAGAAAATCTAGCCTAACATAATTGGAAATAAAGAAAAACAACAATTAAAACCAAGGAAGAACATCACCCAATTGATTCTTGAAGTGAAATCTTGAA